CCGCAAAAATATTCACAGGGCAGGGCAGGATCAGGTTACAAAAAATTTACAGGGCAGGTTACAGGTTATAAAAATCCTGCACCCTGCAGCCCTCTAATCCGAATAGACAAGCTAAAACCGTAGTTATCGTTCCTGTACTTAAATATCCGTGCTTTTCGTCCTCCAATCTAAAGTAGACCCGTAAGATGACTAGGTGCAATCCTATGTAAAATCAGGATTTTCCGAAAAAAAACTGCGAACATCTTGTTTAGATTTTGTTTCTCGAAGACTTATTGCCGTATTTTAGATGTTTTATCTATGACAAAGATATCAGAAAGATGACTTAGACTATCTTTGAGAATCCAAAATGACCAGAAAATAGATTCGAAAGTATTCTGAGCAAAATACAAACCTTAGCACGAGGATTAAATGTAAGACCATTATGTAAAGCAGTTGCAACTTGTTTAACTAATTCTTTTCGAATACCATCTTCAAGTACACGTTTTGGATCAAGCTTAAAAATATAACTTTTATTTTATTTTGAAAGAAATTTGAATTTGATATATTTACTTTGATTATTCCAACTAATGTTGTTTTCATCATTAACATACTTTCAGTAAATATTGAAATATCATGTGTTAATTTTGCAACTTGATACCGTTCATCGAGTTGAGCATATTCTCTTAGTTTATCTTTTTCAGCACGTAATGGTAATTCACGTAATATATTTGTTTGTAAGTAAACAATACTAGCTAACATTGAAAACATTGTTTCAGGAATAATCTAATGAAATTTTAAATACAAAAAACAAAAAACAAAAAAAACAATTATTTTCTTCTTACTTGTAAAACTTTTCGTACATAAGCAACAAGTTCACCAGAATAATAATGACTTACAACCATAAGATCATTACTACCAACTTGATTGATTCGTACTAATGGAAGGTCAAGTGCTGATGAAAGCTGAAATTTCAGATTTCAAAAAACTGAATTTTTTAAAGCAATCAAAATATTTACTTTTAAAAATGTTGCACGTAATTTTGTTACTAAAGACGGACTACGTTTTATTCCTTCTTGCATTACACCAGTAAAACTAAATACAGAGAAAAGAATTATAGAAAAATTACGATAAGTTTTTATTTTAGTAATATCAGTTGAACAACAAACAAGTAGAACTCGAAATGAGAATATATTATTAAAAACAATATTTCGATCTGATTAGTTCTTCATCTTTTTCTTTTCCATATTTCAAACATTACGTTCTTTTTTTCAAATCTTATTATATATATTATTTTCATTAACAATTCTTGTGTTGACATTAGTGACAAGCATTGATGCCTTATTTCCACACAGTTCAATAAAAGATTTTGTTTTGTAAAAAGTTTTAAATGACAAACCTATTCAAAGTACAATATAAACATTTCTGTACAACATGATGTCATGATCATGAGTTTTCTGAAAAGCGTCTATCAACTATGATATGTTCGCAATTCATTGACTTGCAGACTTACAAAATGAACTTGGTCGTTTCTGACTGACGGTTATGAGAATCTCAGATCGAAATAAATTCAAAACTTGATGCAGTGAAGAAAACGAAACGGAATTTTTTACAAAAGTAACGAGAAAAGTTAATGAACAAAATAGGATAAAGTTCCATTCTTCATCCTATGAGTCTCATAAAAATTCTGAACATAGATTCTGAAAGAGTACAAAAATTCGGATTCAAAACTATGTGTTTTATACTTTCTAGTAACTCTTTTTAATTGGTCGCAAAACGAAGAAACATTTTTTTGTATAGAAACTTTTCTATACATCTGTTATCTGTTTCTACTTTTTTTTTTTTACAATAAACAATTAATTAACATAAACAGTTTTTGATTAGGTTAACATTTTCAAAAATTTCTTTTTTATGAACTCATAAAAACTTCTATGTTTTTTATTCTAAATCATTTATATTTATTTTTACCTATCAATAATAATCCATGCATAAGATAAATCAGCGACAAGATCCATAATACTAATTGTTGATTCTTGAACATTATTTAATAAAATCATTGTACTTAAAAGACGTTTATTATCATTTAAAAATTGTTTCACTTGCATATTTGTATCAAGTTCATGAAATTGTTGTACTTCATCTAAAGCTGTCATTATTTGATTAGTTTGACGTCCAGCACTTGTCCAATCTTCAAAATCTAAGGATTCAATACGTTTAGCCATTGTACGAAACCATGTTTGAAGATTATCTATTTTTAAATAAAACATAATTTTCATTTTATTTTAAAAAAATAGAGACAAAAGAAGAACAAAATTTATTTCTACCATTTTTTTCTACACGTGTTAATGGCATTGTACCAGAAAAAACATCAGCTAATTCAATAAGACGTTCGACAGCTTCTTTTCTATTTGCTATCCATCGATCATGTTTTTCGGTTAATAATAAACTAACAATCTATCAAGAAAAACAAAATGAATTTTTTTTGTTTGTTTGTGTGTAAAATTTAAATAAATTAAAAACACCTCTTTAAGATTAAATTCAAATTGTGCTGTATTTAATAATAATTTAAATACTTCTGATGGATTATATTGTGATTCATTAATAACAAGTTGTAACATTTGTTTGCATCGTTTATTAATATCAGCACCAATTGGTAATTCACTTGTATGTAATATAATCCATCTTAAACATATATTACATTCTTTCATAAATTTTAATAATGTTGAAATATTTTTTAAAACATATTCTTCAATTAAAACACCTTCAATAAGATATTGTTCAACTTGTTTATTTAATTTACCAATTTTATCATGAATCATTTGACACTAAATTGATAATTTGGACATTTAAAGAAAAAATTTTATGAGAATGTTTTTTTTTCGTTCCTAACAATCAGTTAATAATGAACATGATTATGTGAAAGTGTTCGCATAATAGAAAGTTATGCTTGAGAATCATAGCATACTCTATCTATTATCATAGAAGAGTCTACAAGAAAAGTTTTCTATTCGAATGTTGCTTTAGATGAAGAGTCAAATTTTTAAGCTATTGTAGATATTTACCAATCGAGATTTTAGTAATCTACACTTAAGACAGTTGAAATAAGTCATTATACGAAATTCACCAATGATTCTGATCAATTGAAGATTACAAGCTTTTGATTAAACTTCTTGATAGACCTATATTGAATAGTTTTTGGTGCAAAGTTTGGGCAAGTTTCAACTCACTGATCTGAAGAAAGTTTGTTTCAAAGATTTATAGAGCAAGCTGAGAGCGTTTCATCATGTAAATAACATTACGTTTGAGCATGTCAGTTCGAAACTTGTTGTTGTGATATATTGAAATGGGCTGGAAGTTCAATAAAATTACCCCAACTCAAGACGAAAGATCGAATGGCATGTATCCTTTCAGGAGGTTTATCTACATTATGAGTCCTACCTACGAGCTCACACGAAGATTCTCAGTAGGATGGGTTTCCTCATTTGGCCTATGCAAGAGTGCAAGCAAGATTTTGGCATCTACAACTAGACAAGATGGATCGTGACTCTTGTTCAGTGATTTGTGAGAGTGATATCGAGAAGTACATCTCTACATCAGGTTTATAAACTATCATGATTTGCGATAACAAGAAAATGTTACTCGTAATCTACTACAGTGTTTACTAAAGTTTTTATTATATTTTAAAATAGAATCAGTAGAGACTTTAAACACATACTGATGTTTCTTACGAAATTCTGTAATAGAGAAAATCTTTCGATATATCTATTGAGCAGATGGAGACTAAGGATTTTTCACTGAAGACTTATATATTCACTAACAATTATTTTTGATAAATAACTTAAAAACAAATTGTATTTATTAGATGAGAAATACAAAAGAAAATGTTCTTTCAATCAGTCGAAATACAAAAGTCTATTTCTCATTTCTCAATAATCATATGTTGTTAAATCTTTATTCATTAAGTTTATTATTAGAAAAGATAAATAAAATAACATACTCGACTTTTAACAGCTTGAAGATCAAGTGTATTATTAAGTGCTGCTTTGGCTGCTTTATATGGTTCCCATGCATCAATTAAATTTACTGTCATACCCATATATAAATTAATAACCCAATTATCAGCAAAATGTTTATCAACAATTTCACGCATTATAGCTTGTTTATTATGTAAAACATCAGGATAGAAATAAAGTAAAACATAAAGCATAGCTGCTTGTGTTGCATATGCTGCTGTTTGATGTTCAAGTTCCGTATAAGCTTTCTTTTGATTATATATATCATCAGAACGTAAACGACCTATGATTATACCAATAACATCTTCACGAAAACCAATACGTCTATTTTGAAAACAAAAGTAAAATATATGAAAATGTATATAAATTCTTTTTTTTTTTTTACCTAAAATAATTTTCTGGATAACCAAGTGGACGTTTATATGGTTGAAGAGAAAAACCATCGTTTCGTGCTAATAATTTTCCTACTTCATCAATATTACTATCCAATGCATTGCGTTTGCCACTAAAATTCATTTTTATTTTTACAAAAAAAATTTTGAATAATTTCTAAATGTGAAAATAATTCTTTTACCTATAACGAAAATAAGCAACAATCATTCGTTCTCGAGCAGCACCATCATATTTTAAATCCAATATTATTAACATTACACCAAATAGATAAACAGCTTCAGTCTAAATGATTTTATATCAAATTATAGATATATCTGTGTTCTTTTTCAATATTTTTTTTCTTTGAATACAGGTTTTACACAACTAATTACAGTCAAACATAAATTGATAGAGATTGTTAGACATATCGATAGTTCATCTTAAACATGAGCGAAGACTTTACGAATATTTATTTTACAGTGGCTCGAAATACAAAAATCGATAGCTTTTATTGTAATTCACTTGATTGAGATCAAAATTAGATATACAGAGGAAACCAAAATTATTCAATAAAATTTGTTTTCAATATTTTTCCGTTGTCTTAAGCACTAGAAAGAATCCAAACAGGGATTCGAGTAATCCTGGATTTTTAGCATCGAGAACGGATAAATATAACCATGTTTAATCAACATAGAATGACAAAGCAAATTATTCTCTACAAAATTAGATCCCTCTGAATGGTCTACGATGGTTTTTGTCGAGATAAAGTACTTTGATAAGAATTACTCCGTTTCTTATATTCATGTTGAAAACAAGTGAAAACAAATCTTGTTGCATAATTTTGGTACACACTGTATATTTTTGATAGTTTACAACATTTGAAACAGTGATAATAAGACAGTATCTATCGAAATGCCTTATGTTTGGTACAAGAAAATTATGATTACTTGTTTTATTCAAATAATACTTTTATTAAGTAACCGATATGCCATTAATAATGGCTGCCCTATTCATATTCATCTCGTTTACCTTTTAAAAAGATCCGTTGACCATTTCTTTATATTCTTATTAGCAAAGAAGACTGAATAGTAGTCATCTCTTCCTATATATATCAACTTCTAGAAAACGTGTTCTTTAGAAGATTTCAGTGGTTTCGGTATTCGTAGACGAACATAAAACATGACAGAGAATGATAACTACTGCGGAAAAGTGCGATCGATTTCCAGTAGGCATTGTGACATTAGAACTAATAATAGTTTATGAGAGCTAATTGGAACTTAGTAGAAATTTNTTGATAGTTTACAACATTTGAAACAGTGATAATAAGACAGTATCTATCGAAATGCCTTATGTTTGGTACAAGAAAATTATGATTACTTGTTTTATTCAACTAATACTTTTATTAAATAACCGATATGCCATTAATAATGGCTGCCCTATTCATATTCATCTCGTTCACCTTTTAAAAAGATCCGTTGGCCATTTCTTTATATTCTTATTAGCAAAGAAGACTGAATAGTAGTCATCTCTTCCTATATATATATCAACTTCTAGAAAACGTGTTCTTTAGAAGATTTCAGTGATTTCGGTATTCGTAGACGAACATAAAACATGACAGAGAATGATAACTACTGCGGAAAAGTGCGATCTATTTCCAGTAGGCATTATGACATTAGAACTAATAATAGTTTATGAGAGCTAATTGGAACTTAGTAGAAATCTGATCAATTTTTCTCGTTTGATCGTCAGATTTCCATTAATGTGGTATGAATTTGTCTTGAAACTGACCAAAACATTAATTAAAAACATTGAGCTTGGTCAACTCTTACCTAATTTTCCCAGTATTCAAAACAGTTCAATTAAAATTATGATTTTCTTAAATAGTATCCAACTATTGTGACTCTATTGCGCGGTGTACGAAATAAGTAAAACTTTTTGTTGATAACGAATTAACCAACAAGTTTTTTCAAAAGGTTTAATTTTCAACACAGAAATAATTGAATCACATATTTTTGTATTAGAAATCAATCTATGTTATGGCAGAACTGATGTTGTAGAGAACTGAACGAAAAGTCTTCTAACACGAAATATGACGGAAATAATTATGAATGGGGTTATTCTTTACGGCACATTCATTAAAGCCTTTTGCAAAACATGAAAAGGAATAGGATGAAAAAGATAGAAAATGTTTCGATCTAAAGAAGTATTTTCGTCACTAAAAAAACAAACAAAATTCAAAATCTTTTTACCATTAATTGTTTTCCTGCTTCATTAGCAATGACATTCTCAACTGTTTGTTGTAAATAAGTACCATTTGTTAAATCTTCAATATATCTAAACATATGATTTTAAAAAGGTTATAACTTTCTAAATATTTCTTATTATTTCTTGCTTCTATTTACCGATTAAACTCAATTCCATATTTATGTACACTTTCAAATGCTTGATAAAATCGTGTAAGTAATGTGAGATTATTTTCACGAAATTCATCATCAACATCTTGAAGATCCTATTCGAACCAAAACGAAATATCGTAGACAAATTTTTAAACAAAAATTATTTATCTTCAAACTTACTGCTCGACCATTAATTAAATCATCATAATATTCTTGTTTAGAAAAATATGAAAAATCAAATATAATATCTGCATATTTTCCTGCATCACGAATATTAATAACTTTAAATAATGGTGGTATAAAATCAGCTAGACGTAATAATTCAGCTATAATTGCATTGCCTGTTGCAACAAGTTGTAAAAGATTTTGACCACACGGATTATTTGCTGCTAAAAAATCACTCATATCTACTACGAAACAAAACAACAAAATTAAGAGATAATAAAAGAAAGATTCTTATCAGTAAGAAAAAATAAACATGAATCTAAATATTGTTCGTTTTTATATTACGTAGAATTGCTTATTATATGAACTTATCCAATGATATTGATCAATATCTTCTTGTTTTATCTGTCAAAATTTGAAATAAAATGATAAAAACTGAACATAACTATACGATTTGGCAGGTTTACCAATAATCGATCTCAACAGATGACGCTGGAAGATGAATGTTACAAATAGAATTCAGATTGTAGAACTTTGAAACTAACGGCTTTAAGAAAGTATATGTGTTCATTCACTTCAAATGTTTTCTAGAAAATAAATTTTATTTATAGAACGATATCAACTGTATGCTTATCATCATAATTTTTTTCTATAAGTTCTTTCATTGTAAACCAAAGAATTTATGATAACAGTACAATTTTTTACGAATATTGATATAATTATCATTTTGATAAATATATTTTTCTATTTTCTAATACAACGACCTTCTTTTCCTTTTCTATTTAAAACAATTTGTCAATAATAATGCAAAGAAAGTAATCTGACTACTAAACTAAAAACTATTCTTATCTTGAGTACACATCTATATATATAAGCTTGCAAATTCTTTCTAGTTTGATTCAACTCTCAAACGAAACAGAATTTTTATTACCAACGCAACGCAATAAATAAAAGTCAATAGATCTTTTTTTTTTTCTACAATCTATTGTACAAAATGTTAGCTCAACCAAAATTGCTCTCATGGTCATCAGCTAAAGCACGTATCCTTAATCAATTACATTCTACTGCAACAATACATGACGAATCTGTGCATCGTTTACGTCGAATTTCTTTAACATCAAGAATTCCTCAATTTCCATTATTCTCAAGTCGAGTTAGTATTTTATTTCTCTACAAAAGAAACATATATATATATATATGATGATCATTTTCTTTTAAATACAGTCTTTAACTAAGATTCCATTTGATACACGTCTTCGAGCGTTTACATATTATCGATCAATTGATGAAGATGAAAATTCAAATGATGTAGAAGATATGATTATTATATCATTATTTTATGATGATCCGAAAGATCCACGTTCAGCAATTGTTGTTTGTTTTGCTTCATTGAATGCAGGAATTATTCGGAGAATGTTAAAGTAAATCAAACTTACTCAAAACTGATATTCGTATTAATATCTGTTTAATTAAGATATGATTTTCAATTTCCATCATTTCAATTATTAAAATATATTGCAAAACTTCAAGTATGAAGAATTAAAAAGTTGACAAAAAAAAAAGCAAAAGTTCAAATCGTTTTTCTTTTCTTCTACTTCTTTATTTTTCAGCTTATTGTTGGTTATTCAAATAATCAGCTATATTTAATTTCCAATAAAAATGGTCAGTTAAAATATTTAACATCTGTTAATTGTCCGGGTGTTGCTCGAAGGTAAAAAATACAATATATATATAACCGAATAATTGTCTTTTAGAATATTTTTAGAATAATTTATGATAAAACGGCACGTGATATAATATATGTTGGTGGTGATAATGGTTTCTTTGTTCGTTGGTATCTTGTTCGAGAAACAGTAAATAGAATATTTTTTTTTTTCACATAAAAATATTTCAATGATTTTCTTTTTCAAAATAGAATGGATATGACTTACGACTTGGTGATAGATTAAAATCGGTATTTATTAATCGACAACATAATATTATTGATATGAAACTTGATCCAATAACACATAAATTATTTATTGTTGGTCATAAAGGTTGTTTAATATTTGATACACTTGTTCGTATTCATTATTATCTGTATCAAACAAATAACTGTTGATTTATTTAGTTAAATCGAGAATCAGCTAGTGTTCTTTCGGCTCATGGTGCATCTGTTACATGGTAAATTTTAAATAATTTTTTATGAAAAAAAATAAGAAAGTTCGTATTTTAGTGCAATTATTTATGGTTTCTCTATAATCATGGGATTTTCTGATGGTGTAATGAAGGTAATTGAAATGACATTGTCACATATCGAAGAAAATGAAAAATAAAGAAGCAAAAGATGTGTACGAAGCTGCGTATTCACGTTTTTCTGGACTGGGACCCGAAGTTGTAGCTATATATTTGCTACTCTCAGCAAAAAGATTCAACACACAGTTATATCTTATTACTTTATTGTTCATTTAGGGAGCTGCGAGTTCACGAAAATGTGTAATTAGGCCCGACAAAAAAATAAAATGTTGAACTCGCAGCTTCCTAAATAGATGACTTTCGAAAATGCGCCAGTTCAAAGCTCAGTTCTACAGGAGATCAGATCATAATCATCTCATCTTCTTCGTCTTTCAGCTCTAATTTTTATGAATATGTAAAATAATTTTTACTATAGATATTTGAAATTGGAAATGAATCGATTCCTGTTCGATATCAATTACAAGTACATAAATCTGCTATGATGAGTAAATAATATGAATATTTCGCATAAATTTTTTAGTTTAATTTTTGTTTATCTATTTAGGTTTGTTAATTACTGCTGATGGAGTAATAATTACTGGTGCTGAAGATGGAACTGTATGCTTTTATTCTCTTGATTCATTAGTGAAAGTAAATAATCTTTACAGAATATTCAAAAGAAAAAAAAACACAATAATTTTATTTGTTTCTTAGCTTGGTGAACATTGTTTTCATGAACCTATTGAACGAATGATGCTTGTACGTGGTGAAGATTTACTTGTTAAATTTAAACATGATTTACAATTATTAGTTTATACATTAGTAATGAAAAGAAAAGTTTTGTAATTGTTAATTTATATCTTTTGTGATTTTGTAGCCTATTCGATCATTTTCTAATGCATTACAAGCTGTTGAACAAGTACGTGTTACATTTCCAGTTGGTAGTATTCCAGCACGTGTTACTGTACGAAGTCCACAAAATCTTATTACAGTTTATAATCCACGTTCAACACAAATTATTAATATTATTCCATTATCTCCTGATGTAAATGAAAATTTATTTCAATCGAATCCATAAAATAAATAATGTTTGATTTCTTTTTTTCTACAATATAGAGAATTATTGTTAATGATTTTGCATTTGATTCAGCTGGAGAAATTCTTTATATTTTAACAAGTAAAGCAGGTAAAATTAGAATAGAATTTGTTTTGACATTTGTCTTTTCTTTTTTTTTTTATGCATGTTTGATTTAGTATGTAGTTATTATTGCGCAAGTTATCCGTCGTATTTAATAAATCTATTTGAAGTTAAAGAAGAATGTCTTTTTACTAAACTTTGTTGTTTTATGTGGGTATGTATTGATTAAGGAATTTTAAATATTTATAAGATCTTTATTAAAGTTTTCACTTCTTCCTGAACATACGAAAAAACGTCGAGCATTTGGAGTTGTATTTGTTGGAACGACTAATGGAAAAGTATATTCAATGATTATTTTGTTTTGTTTTTATTTATATCTATTCAAATTATAGCTCTATCTTGTTCCTGGTGATCATCAACTTAAATATGCAATAGTACCTGATACACCTGAAGCTTTATATGAGTACTATCAAGTACTTGATAAGACAGTTACAGTTGATTGCTTAGAAATATTTCAAGCTTATGAAACATATACTACTCGAAGTAAGATTTAGTTAATCATTTAATAAACTATTCGATTATTATTTATATTACTTAGGAGGAGCAAGATATTTACTTGCTATAGGAAATGATTTCATTGCAAAATTTTATCGTATATCAATAAATTATCATGAAATATTTTTACGTCAATTAGGATTATCAGTAAAGTTATTTAAACAAAAAAAAAATTCGAAAAAAATGTCTTGCTTTTTCTTTAAAAACAAAAGATTCGTCTTGATGCTTCATGTATTGGTGCAGCTATGGCTGAAAGTCGAATAGCTCTTGCATGTAATGATCGTGGTTATATTCAAATGTATTCAATAACAATAAATGGTCTTGATGAAGTTTCACCGAAAGATATTCTTCATGAACATTCACCAGTAAAATCACTTACTGGTTGTGATACTTTAGGATTATTTGCAACATTAAATACTGCAAATGAAATTATGGTAAATAAAATAATATCATAGAGAAAAGAGAAAAAGAAATGTTTGTATATTTACATATATGTTTTTTTTAAATTATAGTTATGGACAAGAAATAATGAAGCCATAAGAAAAATAAAATGCGATTTTCCTTTAATATCAATTGCTAATCTTAATGATAGAGGAGATATTTTATTAGTATCAAATAGACGATTAAAGTAAGATTAATTCTTGAAACATAATTCATATATTCTTTTGTTTATAGCTTTTTAATGATGAGTGATTTTGCACCTGATCAAGTTTTATTTGACTTAAGTAAAAAAACAATTAAGGTAAATATAAATAGTTTTGTTGCATAGAAACAAAAAAAAAAAGCAAAAAAGGAAAGAAATCAGTGTACTCTTTGAATACCTATCTTGTTGATTGAGAAAAATTTCTATCATTATATAATTTTTTCTTTTTCATTATATATCTAAGCTCAACTGTCATATGAAAAGAAATGATATTTAAATATCCTTATATCCGTTTGTCTGTAAAATTATCATCATTCTTTATTCGATTAAAATATCAATTTAAAATAAAATGTAAAAAAAAACAGGAACTAAATGAAATGAGAATAAACCAATAAAGAATATCTTTCTTTTCAGTACAAAATTGTTTTACAATGTCAGTCATTGATGATGCCAAATTATATAGAAGAAAAGAAAAAAGAAAGATAAGAACAAAGAGTAGAATTTTCTTGCATTCATATGTTTGAAACTCGTACACTTTTATGTGCTTCTTCAATTAAAAAATACAAATTTGCTAAGAAAACTTATGGTTGGGAAATATTATTATACTACAAACATTGTATTATATCTTTTAGGACGATGCAATTGAACTACCAGTACAAATCAATAAAAGTTTTGATCCGTATGTTGACTAACAGGGGTGTATTAATAATAATATATAAAAACCTTCATTCATAATAGGTTTCTCATGTCTATATTTTTTGTATTTGAGAAAAAAAAAAAAAGAAAAAGAAAAGTGTCATAGACATACATCTTGATACTTTATTATTTCTTTTTATTCAAATAATAACGTTGACAAAATCGAACATAAAAATTTAATTAGTGGTATGACGCACCTTTAAGTATATCTGTATGTCGCGTCGTTACTGCTCTTTTCTTTTGTAAATTTAAAAAATAAATCTTTCTCTTTTCTTTTGTTTGCTTGTAAGATTTTAGTCGATTTTTTTCTTGTTCTTCTTTTCTTTCTTTCAATTAAAAACAAAGAGATCTATTTCACACTTTTTTCCATTTATTTGAAATGAATATACTTGAGATTTTAGCAGGTAGAGTCTTTTAATGACACCATAAACAGATCAAGCATAGAAAAAAGAAAAGAAAAAAGAAAAAGCCGTCTAACTTATTAAAATAACATCAACAGTTTCAAGTGAATACATCGGCTTTTGATTATTCAGCTTCTTTTTGCATCGTGTTAACTAATAGTTAGTTGAGGTTATTGAAAGAAATGATACATCCAAAAACACCTTCACCGTTGTATAATCGACAACGAAGAAAAAGACAAACGAATAGTGGCAGGTAGAATTGTGATAAAAGAATTTTGACTCTTTGTTGTTTTATTTTATTTATATTTCATTATTATATCTAGAACTGTAGTCGAATCAGTTCAAACAATTCAACTCGATGAAAAAGCTTTTCCAAAAGGTCGACTACATACATAATGTAAACCATCATCATCTATATTGTATTCTTTTTATTTTTCAGTTTCAACAGAAGTTGAAGAGCCAGATGTATTGGGTTTTTTTGAAGCCCTCGAACAAGAAAAAGCTCAAGCTGAAATGGCGAAAATGTTAGAAAAGAAAAAACTATGCCCAATTGCACCTGATGGTAAAAGCCTATTAGCATAATCTCTGTGGGATTATAATGTGAAACACGATGTAACTGCTGTTGTTAATCATAGGAAGAGTGTTTTATCCTATCTATTTTGAGACACATTTCTTCATCAGCCTTCTACGTAGCACTCCGGAAATGCACTAAGAAAGTCGATCATATATTATAGCAACACATAATTAGCATACGATCTGCAATCGTATATCAACAACGTCTGTTGCAAATCTGCAATGTTTCCATCGTTACGTCTGTCGTGATCCCTTGTGATAGGAGAAACATCCAAACTTTTATTCTTAGACATCAACACTCCTTTTAGATCGTGTTTCATAAAATATGATAAAATTATTCAGCTCGTAAGACAATATTTTATATTTTGTTTTTAGCTCTAATACCTAATTCAACACTTCGTTCAATGTTCAAAATGAAAGAAATCGAACCAGTTGAAGTAAAAATGTTTCGATTAAGATTGGTATGTAAATTAAAAGAAAAGAAAAGAAAGAAAAAAACTTTTTTCGAGTAAAAAATGTATTTGAGAAACCAAAAAAGTCACAAATAGATTTCGCCCACAACATCAGATACAACTCAAAAGGAATTAGATGATCGATTGAAACGATTTGCTGTATTAACAAATTTCGATGGTATTCATTCAACTATTTTTCAATCGTTACATAAAATTGTAAGCATATAAATAGAACTCACCTGTTTCTTCTTATATTTTAGGATATACTTGATAATCTACAGGTTTGTTACTAAATAAACACTGTAGAGTCTGTCCGTCTGTTTGTCTGTTTTCATCACAGTTAACTTTTATGGTTTCTTTTAGTGTGCTTTTTTTTTTATTATTTTGTCTTGTTTTTATAATCAACTGAATGTTTTTTTTTGTCTTATATTTCTTTAGAACAAAACGAATAAAAATCTCAATTGGCAAAATGATGATGATGAATGGGTGGAATTAGAAGATCCTGAAGGTTCAGTTGTTGAAACTTCATCAAAATCATCTAGTGCAAAAAGAACTAAACGTATTTATTATTATTATTATTATTACTAAATTAATAATAATGTTAATTGTTTTGTATTCTCCTTAAGATGTACGCCCAACAACGGGTACATTGATGTCTCGTCAACAGGTAAAGAAAAAAGAAACATTCTCAGATAATTCTTATCCTTAGCATAGCTTGATAATGATTTCTATATAGAAGATGTTGAATATAATATATTTTGGGATAAGGTAGTTCTATTTTTTTTTTGGTTTGTGGTTTTTTTTTTCGGAGGGAAATGCTTATTAACTAACAACAAGTATTTCTAATCAAGAAATTAAGATCTTTTTTTATTTTGTTGTATTTGATTATCTAGGATACAATTCCGGAATTATTTAGAAGAATGCAAAATGAATCATGGTGGCAACAAACAGATAAAGATGCAAATAATAATTTACGATCAATGTTACTTTATTTAATTGAAATAATAAAAGCTAAACAAAATAATTCATACGAATCAGCTTGTCATTATGTTGTAGATGTATTTCGGTAATTTAAGAAAAGAAAATTCTTTTTCTTGTTTTTTTTTTTTGCATAATTTACTGTTTATTTATTAGAACATATGGTATTGAACCATCACTTGTTAATCAAATTCTTGGTATTCTACTTAATCATTTATCTCAAGGTGAAAATGATCCATTAAATATCCATACAGTTGGTACCATAGCTCAATTTATGATTGAAAGAAAAGATATTATTGTTCCATTACTTGATTTTACATTAAAATGTCAACCAGTAAAAATAAAATAAATACGCATATTTCATTAACAAAAATAACTCATCATGTCTTTTTTTTTTTTTTTTGAAGGATAATATACTACGACAAGAAGCAATAAATGCAATTAAATTTATTACTGATGTTAATAGTTCAGATGATATTGATTTAGTTCTTAATAATATGTCAATTGTTCAAGTATGTAGAATTTAGTTAGAAAAAAATAAATAAAAATATTTTTCAAGGATGCTGCTGAAGATACATTTTCATTAAAAGCAATTATTGACAGAATTAAATATAAACAGAGAAATATTCCATCAGATGTAGTTGTTGAAGAAAAAGACAGTGAAAAAATTGAAGATGATATTCTTCATCCATTATTAAAAAAAATTTCTCAAGAACGTTGGTATCCTCGTGATGATAATCCAATTACACTTGATTCAATTATTGATGTTATACTTGCTAAATTACCAACGGCAAGTAAAACAATGCTTAAAACATTAACAGCACATCTTGTTCAATTAAATCGGTAAATAAATTGAAATTTTAGAATATAAAAAGTTATATCTTTATTTTCTTTATGTAGTATTTCAATGATTTTACAATTAAATATTCACAGCTCAGGATTGCTTTTGAATATTTAGTGATGTTTATCATTATCTTCAACATTTAGTTGTAAAAGATTTATTGAAATCTCTTTAAAGTACTTCATATAGTGAGAAAGACGTGACTCGACTGAATTTCCATGTATAATCGAAAGTTTATTTCAATATGAATCTCTGATAGATGTTATAGATTTTTGAATTATGCGAAACTATATTTATATTAAAGCAAGACTATTCATAGTTCATAGGTAACATATCGACAAATATCTTGCACAAAGATTAATGCTGTGACACACATCTTAGAAAACGACACTATTAGGTCATCATTTTTCATAACCTCATAAAACGGTGAAAATGGTAGCGGAAACAGATAGCTATTAGTGAGCGAGACATCATTTCCGACAGTCGGAATGATCGTGCTGAAGAATTCCCAGTTACGTCAATTTTGTGGCTATGATCGAAGAATATTTTGTCTACTTTCTTATTCTTTGTAGCTTATATTCTTGTTTGAAACATTCTACATTCTCATAATCGATCGATTATGTTTATTTTTAGTGTTATTGGCTATTCAAAAGAACAATTTGATCGAGTATCAAATGGTATAATCTCGCTTCTATCACACAATGATGCCGATCATCGATTGATAGCTGCAACAATTTTAGCTGATTTAGGCAAAGAAACAAAAGCTATTGATATTGCATTACTTAATTCATTTATAAATGATCCACGAGTATAGTTTTTTTTTTTAATTCATTATTTAGTTTGATAATTGTTTTTATTATTGTAAAAATAGATTTTAGTTCGAACTGAATGTTGTGATACATTAAAAAGATTAACTTCAGTTATGTCGGATACTGTTTTAAAAGATTGTGCAGATGATATTCCATATTTAGAAGTAAAATTCTAACAAATAATTTCTATTAATATTTCTTTTATTCTTTCTATAGACTTTACCAGAAGAAGATTTTAGTCTTCAAAATTATTTAAAAGAAAAAAATCGGACATTAACACCACCACCATCAACAGTAGATTACCATCCATCAGCACCAATCGATGAAAAACACGAAGACGAAATACAAGAAAATGAAAATGAAGAGGAACATGAAAATGAAGAAGAAGAACATGAAAAACAAGAAGAAGAGCATGAAAAGCAAGAAGAAGAGCATGAAAAACAAGAAGAAGAGCATGAAAAACAAGAAGAAGAACATGAAGAACCAGAAGAAGAAGAAAATCTTCTATCAACTAATGAAGATCAACAAGAAAAATCACATATCAATATCAAAGATTCAACTCATCCTCCTCCGTTTCCTTCTATCAACGAACAAATCGATGATATCAAAGCAATTGTTCGTTCACGTTCATCATCCCCTCGAATAGATGAACAACCAACTATTCATAAAAACCATCGTGCTTTACAACAAACACCTAGTCAATTTAGTATAACTCCAAGTTTAACTTCTTCAACAACAGCAGCAACACCTATTGAACAACCAATACGTGTTGAAATAAATGAAAAAATAAAGCCTATTATTCAGTCTTCACATCATGTACCGAAACCACGAAAAGAATTACCACCACCACCACTACCACCTCCACAATTATCTTCACAAACACCTCGTCTACGTAAACAACTAACTGTTCCTATTGAAAAACCAAGTCGAACACCAAGTAAAACAATTGCTTCTGATCATTCAACTGGAAAACGGTGTTTATAATATTTTACATATGAATATCTTTTTTTTTATTCTTAATTTTCTTCTTTAGTTATCCACTTTTACCAAATAATGTAACTATGTGGGATTCATATGCAAAACAAAATGGTACGTTTTTTTTTGGAAGATTTTGAATATACAATTATTTCAATTTTATTTTTTCGTTTAGAAATTATTGAACAAAATAAAACTCAAATTCCATCTTCAACAGAAATTCATCAACAACCAATACATGATCCAGTTCAAACAATAATTAATGATCATAAACATACTTTTGGTTATTATCGTATGATACCAAATCGTCGTGTATTGATTCCTCATAAAATATCTCTTACGGATTTATTTGGTGATCAAATGCATATAACTGTTAATAGAAGAAGTTCATCACCATTAACAACAAGTACAATGCGTTTGTCTGATTTAAATCGTAATAAACGTCATTTACATGAAGTTGAATTTATACAATTATTATCATCACTTGTTATACGTTCAATACAATTACATAGAAGAAATGAACAATTTATACCAGGATCATTTTCATCAAATGCAAATTCTTCTATGAATTTTACGGATGCATTAACTATTTCACAAATGCAATTACATTCATTAACAAATTTACATCAACCAAGTTTTTTTACATCAAATAAATTACCACCTATTGATCAACAAAGACCATCATCAGCACAAACAACTAGAATGAAATCTGATGCACAAACTAGAGCAACAAGAACAGGTTAATATATACATAGAAAGATCTTAACATTATAGATATAATCTTGAATTTTTATTAGAAGAGTAATTATTTAACTTATACATTTCGAGAAACTTCCACTGAATTTCTAAATAATTTCGCCAGTAAAAAATGATTGAAAACGAATGATTTTATTCACTAACAAGCATAGAAATGTACGAATACATTTAAATCATGTTTATTACAATATTTTGATTTGAAAAATTATTGAAGTTAAGAAAAAACTTCTATAAGACATGTGCTGATAAGGCTTTATCTGGAGACGTCATCTTAGAAGTTTGTGAACAACTCGAAAATATAAGAAGATATATTTTAATTATCTTGAAAGAAGTATAAAGTAAAGTCTTTACTACTGAATAAGGACTTCTCATTTTTATGAAATAGAAAGTTCAAATCTTATGAGTGTTTGAATACTCGATATTGTACTCATATCATACTGGCATTTGTTTTTTGAAGTCTGATAAATTCGCGTAATTTAAACCAACCATCTTTTAACTTTGTAAGATGTCTCATTTTTATGTCCAATTAATAAAAATTTACACTATCTATCTCATAATGAAATAGTATTATAACATACCTATTTCCTATTCATCAATTCTTGAACCGTTGTCCAGGCTTGCCGATTAGGGGGGGATGGGAGGGGGGCGGGAGATTTCCCCTCCCTAAAATGCTAGACTGTCTGCCAAAATTTTTAACAGTTTCTGCGAAAAATATTTAATATTTTCTGCGAAATTTTGATAACTTTTGAAGGAATAACGATTTTCTGCCGAAATTTCATCCCCCCGCACTCCTGAAAACAATCGACAACCCTGCCGTTGTCTCTCATTATAATGTGTATTTGTCGATAGTTTTCAGCTCACGAGAGAAACTCGTTTTTTTCATTAATACAAATTTATTTTGCTAGTTTGCACTTGTTCGGATACAGTGGGTTTCTATTACATTTTCAATATCATAATAACCTTGAGACTGGGCTTCAATTTTGTTGACGGAATGTTATAGTAATTTAGTCATTCTTATAGTTGTCGATATGATAAACAAGAGATCAAATGATATTAATAGTATTAAGTTTACCTCATGAGTCTATACTTAAATAACATAAATCTATCGTTAAATGTTCCAAAAAAAAACTATTACATCAAGTAATATATTTAATTCTCGAATGTTATATCATCGTTCTAACATTCAATAACTACATATAAATTTCATCAAACTATCTGATAGTATTTTTCAAATATTGTTAAATAAAACGAGATACAATAAAAATAATGTTTGTCCTTCGAAAAAAAAATCATCAACTAAATAATACTATTGCACTATGAAAAATATTTCATTTTTAGGTGTTAATCTTCGCAAAGCTAAAGACATGGAAGATGCACTATCTAATGTACTAAAATCAAATCGTGAACTTACACGATCTACAATTATTCATGGAAATAGTTCACATACAACTGGTGCGTCAATTACATACGATCAAAATGAAATCACACATGCATGGCTTCTCGAACAATGTAAATATATTATAAATTCATTGAATATATTTAATTAGTTTTTTTTTTTTTTTCGTTACTTTTAGTATTACATTCTCAAGGTACACCAGATCCTCAAAATTATATTCAACAACTTATTCGAACTTATCCAAAATTTACACCATTACTTTATTCACGAGTATCCGAAGATCTAATTCCTGTGATTTGGAATGATCCTGTTATGAGACAACTTGCATCAATTATTAGTAATAAACCAGTAATAAAAATAAAAATAATCTATTTGAATTTCAAAAAAAAAAAGAAAAAACGATGAATTATCATATTTAGGATGAATCAACTATTGAAGATATTTCAATGAAACATGCTAGTGCAAAACCAACACTACCAACATTTGATGATGAGCATTCATCAAACTTTTTTGATTATGCAGCATCAAGTCAAATATTGGCTATGCAACAACAACAACGAGATGATCATAAAAAGGAACTTTTACCAACTGTTCGTGGTGTAAAAATGTAAGAAATTATTATCTTAATAAACTTTTTTGTGTTAAGTGACTTAAATTTAGGCGTCTACCACGTCACGTACTTAAATTTGGTTTTCGTGAACTTGATGTCGATTCTCCAGAAGAATCACTCGTTTCCTTACGCGATGAAAGTACATCAAAATCACGTCGACGACGAATTTATATGCATCTTATGGTAAGTAAATTTACTGCGTATTAACTAATAACATTTGAAATAATGTCCTAAAACTCCAGTGTAATCATAATAATCATTATGATGATAATAACTAAACTATTTATCGTAAGTGCTATGTAGATTATTCGCTTTGCTCGTCTTGTCTATAGTTTTACTATGCTGATTGCTTTATGAATTCTTATTTGCTTTATTTTAGATGTCGGTTAATGAAAATATGGTAAGTAGATGAGATTTCATTGTATTCACTTGTTTGAATGAATAAACACAAATTGATTGATTTATTGGATTTGTTTTTTTTTCAAGATTAAAAAAAAAAAAAGAATGTTCGTTTTTTATTTAGTGTACTCGACATGAACTTGTTAAAAGTCAATTAAGACAAATGTTAAAAACGGACTATCGATCAACATCATTATTACCTCTTATGATGTAATTGATTCATAGTTAAACATATTTTCATTTCGCTCGGTGATTCATTTTTATAATGATCATTTCAACTCTTTTTTTTCTCTAAATATCACTTTGTTCATCATCATAATAAAATTATTCACTTATCGTTGCTACTGGTTACTTTTTTTTAAATATAAAAATAAATAGAAGACGGCGAAAGAAAATATATCATACTTGTAATAATATATAATCAAATGAACAAACAAATTCAATAAATGACTTAACCTGTCTTTCACTAAATATAGACTTTGTTTGTATTCTTATTCTTATATATTAGCTAGAATGTTAAACAACATATACTAAACTTTTCATTTGATTTCATAACAACCTTTTCTTCTTCAGTCATATTTACAGATCAACAAGTGCAAGATACTTCTGGATACAAAGAACTTTTGCTCTGTTACTGAAATACCAGTCCTAAAACAGAACAAAATTTTGTAGACAGCTCAGTTTCAGATGTTGAATTGAGAGCTGTTCGATTTCCAGTCACCTTGATTATTATGTAAATATTCAAACTTAGGCTAGTATTACATTTATCACAAGAAAAAGATTGTTTAAAACTATTTGATTTATGTCAATATTTTCACAATATAAAACTACTTGAAAATTTGTCCTCAAATTAGGATCGAGTTCTGAAGAAAAAAGCTTTTCAACAGAAGTGTGACTCGATACTCAGAGTAGCGGTGGTGTTCGCATGAATATGACATACATTCTTATTGTCATTGAAAGAAAATTTCAAAAGTAGATTGTAAGATGGGAAAAAAGAACTTCCAAGAGCAAATGAAGTGATATTTACCTTCATTAGCTATTTCTATCGCTTCGAGCACAGTAAAAGAGAGAATCGAAAGAACTTTAAGATTACGAATAAGAGAATTTGACTTATTCCAAAAAGCTTATTACACGATTTCTAACTATTCGCTAAGAAGTCGATTAAATATCTACTAACAAATAGAAACAATATAAGGTAACTATGAGATAGCTATGTTCTTTATCTACATATCTATTTGTTTATTATTTAAAAACAGCAGTGTCACATATCCAAGATTTTGGAGATGCCACCACATCTCCTGCGGGAGATGCCGCATCTCGCGCGAGAGATGCGAGTGTGGGTGTNTTTTTCTTTTGACCGGCGCCCGGGCAAAAATTATTGGTGACCGGGCGGCGTCCGGGCATGCCCACCCCTAGTTACGCCACTAGACGAAATGATTGCGACGAAATGTACTAGTACCCAAATCTTTAAGCTTACAAACACATAGAAAAAAAAATATGGTTCTCTTCTGAAATTATCATAAACAATATTCATGAACACAGTAGAGGTAATATACTCTCAAACCAGATATTATAATAAACAATTTATATAACCAATAATGAACCATTTATTATGTTAAATCAACTTGACGAAAGTGTTATAATCTAACATTTTGTCTTAATCAAGTGTTTTACGGTAATATTTGCAAGTATTTGTAAAGAAAGTTTTTTATGCTTCATATTCAGTATTGCTCAGTAACTAAATCCGGTTCAGATGCATTTTGTGAATATTGTTTCATAATACTTTCTACTGCCGGTACAAGCTCAATTCTACTTAAATTTGATTCATTTCTTATTAGTTTTCGTTGTTTAGAATGCCAAAAACCATAGGAAAAATAAATAATTTGACCTAATACTGTCCACGCCAGGAATCGATAGCCTGTTGCTTTTGTTATACCTTTCATAAGAAGTATACAAAGTAAGGAACCTGTAGTCGGGATTAGCCATGAACCAAATGGTACTTCAAATGTTCGTGGAATATTTCTATGAGTATAGCGCATCTATCAGAGACATTTTAGATGATAGAATAAGGCAATGAGTTAATCAAACTTACAACGATGACCGTAATATGTACGAAGATATATGTAATTAGAGCACTAATGGAGGTTGTTTCACCAAGAATATCTACTGGAAAGATACCCGACAAAACAGCACAAAATGTACCTAAAAATGAAAATAAGTTTTATCCTACTAATCGTAAAAACAAAGATTAGTTACCGCTAATCAATATAGAAACCAATGGAGTTGTCGTCTGTGGATAAATTTTAGCAAAGATTGGTGGTAGTAAACCATCATGAGCCATAGCATAAAATATTCGAGTCTGTGACAGCATCACAGTCAATGCCACAGATGTAAGACTTGCGATAGCACCTAAATCCATAAGAATTGATAACCAAAGACCATAAGGTGTAACTTTGCTATAAAAATTACAAGAAGCACCACTAATATTCTCTAAACGATTAGTAATGACTTACATTACTTGAGAAAGAGGACTATCTGAGTCTAATAAGTTGTATGGAACGACTCCAACCATCACAGTACATATTCCAATATACAAGAGTAATGAAATAACTGTTGACCCAATAATAGCAATTGGCAGCAATCTCTCTGGTGATTTTGCTTCTTGTGCTACTGTTGAAACTGAATCAAAACCCACATGAGCAAAGAAAACATAAGTACATGCTTGTAGCATGCCTGTTATTCCAAATTCACTAAACGAACCTAAGAGATGCAATGAAATTCATTCATTTCTTAGATATATTATTAATACAACCATATACCTTTATTAGCTGGAAAAAATGGAATATAATTATTTCGATTGACATATTGACAACAAGCAAAAATGAATATTAAAAGTATAGTAATTTTAAACACAACCAACACGAGATTGACTATAGCCATTTGACGAATTCGAATAATAAGAAGAATTGTAATAGCAATAGTAATTGCAATAGCAGGTAAATTAATCACTTGACCAGTTCCTAAAAAACATTCCGCGTCTTGGTCCCAAACAACTGGTGCTTGAAGAATCATGCTTGTTACATTATAATCAGACACAAGATCAACAAGTAGGGTGACATGCTTGCTCCAAGAAACCGACACTGTCAAAACGGCGAATAGATAAAGTAGTGCAGAATTCCACCCAATAAACCATGCCAAATATTCTACAATCAATAAGAAAAAAAAAATTTCTTATAACGTTACTTTTGATTGCATACCTCCCAATGCTAAAACAATAAAAAAAGAAAAGAAATGTTCATATAAACAAGACACGTATATGATCATTAACTCACCTGCATAGGTATATGTGTAAACTGATCCAGAACTAGACATCATCGCTCCTAGTTCTGAAAATGATAAAGACGACAATAAAGCAATAACACCTGCTATAACAAATGAAATGATCACTGATGGGCCAGAATATTTTACAGCAGCTTTTCCACTTAATACAAATATTCCGACACCTGAAAAGACAATTCAGAAGTCCGACTGCATGTATTATTTTTCATCTCACTCACCAATAGTAGCACCAAGACCAATAGCAAGTAATTGAATCCAACCTATATCACGTCTCAATTCATTTTGTGTATCAATTTCAGCTTGTAATTTCTCCATTGGTTTACGCTCAATAAGTTGTTTGAAGAAAACATTAGTACGAAACAGTACTCTTCTACTAGCATCATTTTCTGATTGAATATTTGGATTGATATCAACAGATGTATCAGCAGACATAGGTAGTGTTTGATGAATTATAATTCTAGCCCAACCTTGAAGACTATACTTTACATATATGTCTGTAATGTTTATGCACAAAATAAGACATGTATAGATTTATATTACATTCGAAAAACAAAATTTAAGTTGGTAAGAAAAAAGGAAGCAAACATGCCTCAATTAGCCAACAGTGCATAGAATACACATCCTAGTCAACGATAACTCTGCATAAGGAGAAAAATTGGAATAAAATGTACGATAGAGAAAAGACGTCGGTATCGATTGTTCTCTTTTTTTTCTCTCTTTTTCTGTAACCCAGTTTCGGTGCTATGTTCTTTCACATTTATTTTCTTCTGAAAATGGAGGGACGATATGATTTAATTATGTATTTTTTTGACTGTGCAAGCCACGATCACGTTTGAATATAGAAATATGTAAATAACGAAAAAAAAACATTATATCTGTTTCATTTCATTATATAGACACAATTTTAACCAAATACATACCTTTTCAATACTTGATGTCGTCAACTAGAGTTAATCAAGCATAATTTACTTAATCATGTGGTCCACTTTTTTCATTACAAGAGAAATTTTCTTTTCGAATGATTTCGTTCGTTCCTAGATGTTGATTACTTTTCTGTCTGCAAAGTAATCAACAGAACTACCCATGTTTCCATTTTTTGATTTTTGACGCGTCCCCGAGCGTTTGCCAGTAATGTAACTTCAGGCGTCTCGATGTGTCTAAAATGCAACATTTTTGGGTGTTCTAACGCGTTATGATAAAGAAACGCATTCTGACACTATTTATTGTTAGATGCGTGTAGATGCGTTTGAGGATATTCAAAATTTCTTGAATTTAAAAGAATTCGTCTCTATCAAAAAACGCACTTCTGCTTTAGTATGATTCACTTATGTCTGATATTTATTTCCCTCTTTCTTTCTTTCTGTTATGGCATAGATGATACATGCGACATACATATTAGAGATGAGAACAGGACAATCTTTTCCGTACTGTCCTGTCCTGTCCTACAATAGACCTCCGTCCTGCCGCTCTACAGGACAGGACAAAATTTTAGTTTCGTCCTGTTCTGCAGGACAGGACAAGAAGCAGGATAAACATGACATTTTTTATTTTCTATTAAGTGCATCATATATTCAATATCTCGATCATTTTGTAATCAATTTATTTTATAATTTTGTGAACATCACGATCAGAGCTCTGAATGGAATGGGATGGGATGAAAAAATCATCCCATGCAACAAACTACTTTGTCCCATCCGATGGGATTTCGTGGGATAATCTGTCTAATAAAAAGATTTTCCTAAAAATTAGAATCGACTTCTGTGACTTTTTTAATTCAACCCTCTCAGCTCTCTCTATCTATGCATGTTTATACTAATTGACATTCAATTTTTATACTAATCACACATATCCTATTGGTTTCGTCAAGAATGAAATCGCAAATCTAGACTATTAGAATCTCGACGAACTCCGGCGGATACGATAGTGAGTTCCTCAGGTGCATCATAACCTGAATTTATTGCACTGGATGACGCAAATGAATTACCAAGTAATTCAAAAATATGAATTAAACTGATCCAGAACTAGGCATCATTGCTCCTAATTCTGA